GGAAACAGTCCTCCATAAAATGTGCTGCACACATCTGAATATTTGGGTTGAACTGTTCTGGAACAGTGTTGTTAACATGGGTCGCGGAAGCAGGGGGGCCGCCTGGGTTACTTTTGAGGTCTGGTACAAATATGACATGGGCTACAAAAAAAAAAACATAGGCTATATAGGCTCATATGTATGCATGCACGTTTAATCATTAAAATTATTCCTAAATGACGGTGATTCCGCTATGTCTATTAAACCTTTGAAAACACAATCACATCGGAATATTTAAACCTGCTTTCGCACAGCGGCTGATCCAGATAGAGCAGCGCAGCGCTCATCATGTAGCCAAGCTTTATGTTTGAAACAGTCTACACAAACAGTTTACTTACACAGTAGGCTACATTTCTATGTTGCAAACATTAAATAATAACGAAAGTATTTGGAGAAAAGTTTTTAATCCGGATATAGACTCTGATGTTGCGGCAGCCTCGGTCAAAACGAGTAATTAACCTTTGGAACTAATGATAAGCTTCAAATATAGATTGTATATGTTACATTATGCCAGTAGGTGGCAAACAGTGACTGTTAAATGTATTTGATGTCTGAATCATTCAAGAGATTCGTTCAAAAACTCTGGACGAAACAAGTCATTTTTTTTTAATTATTATTTTTTAGCTACATAATGAATTCATTTAAGTTAATAAATATTTTTAAATACACTCATTTATAACATTTTAGACAGCAATTTCAATTCTCTGTGTGTATGTGCTGTACATGTGGAAGAATTGACAATAAAGCAGACTTGACTTGACTTGACTATGTCTATTAAACAAAGACTATAGAATACCTTTGTCTTAAAGGGACTTTGCTATTAAACTTTTGAAAACACAATCACATTGGAATATTTAAACCTGCTTTCGCGCAGCCGCTAATCCAGATAGAGCAGCGCAGTGCTCATCATGTAGCCTAAGCTTTATGTTTGAAACAGTCTACACAAACAGTCTACTTACACAGTAGGCTACATTTCTATGTTGCAAACATTAAATATTAACTAAAGTATTTGGAGAAAAGTTTTTAATCCGGATATAGACTCTGATGTTGCGGCAGCCTCGATCAAAACAAGTAATTAACATTTGGAACTAATGATACGCTTCAAATATAGATTGTATATGTTACATTATGCCAGTAGGTGGCAAACAGTGACGTGTTTAATGTATTTGATGTCTGAATCATTCAATAGATTCATTCAAAAACTCTGGACGAAACAAGTCTTAATTTTTTTTTTTTTTTCAAATGATTTTTTTAGCTACATAATGAATTAATTTAAATTAATAAATATTTTTTAAATACACTCATTTATAACATTTTAGACATTTATAAATAGACTCATTTATAACATTAAATAAAACATTTTGTCAGAAACTCAAATTACATATTAGTCGTGTCCTCTTTTGGAAGGCCAAACAAAGTAGTTTCGCTACTTACGGCGGCCTTGAGTGAGAGAATAAAAGTTACGCCTTCTTTCTTTGCATGAACATTTGGGCAGCGTTATGCAAATCTTCCCACATCGTGACATAGACATGTGGGGGCGTGTTAGAACGAGCCGTTTTAGGTAGGCGTGGTTGACTCTGAACTTTTATAAAGAATATCTCTTTGAATTTGAGACTTTAGTCTTTGCAACTTTACAGATCTTCTTTATGCACCAAGAGCTTGTAACACTCCAAAGGGAAAGGAAAAATTGAAATCGCATCATATGACCCCTTTAAAATCTGAATGCTGCTTTGAATGTTACACTAGTCATCTTATCCACCATGTCTGCCTGTGTGTCTCACAATGTCCCTTTTTTCTGTTTCATGTCTCTGTGCTCATTTGTACATGTGCCTGTTGCTGAATCACCTGTTTTTTTGTTTTTTTTGTTCATCTCACTTTCTTTGTTGTTTCCACATTCTCTCCATCACAGCTGTCAGAATCCACAACCACACTGTCCTGACTACCCATAATTCTTCCTCTGTGTATACCAATGACTCTGCCTACACTAACATTTCCGCCACTGTAGGTGAGGCTCTTACACATGTCCACTTACTAGTTCAAAGCTATGGGTCTTGGGGAATAGTTTTAGGGCCTATACATTCATGTAGACCTTGTATATCAGCAGGACATCATTAGGAGAGGGTAAACTGAAAAACTGATATATGACCATTTACATTAGGGTAATTGAAGCATGCATTGTTTAGTGCTGTTTAATCTGGCCTTCTTCACTGAAATCAAACCTTTCGTAAGCTTTATGACTGATTTTATTGGATCCAGTGTGTTTGTGAAACTGCGTTTGAAAACATTGTCCCATTTTGGAAATCTGCTGTATGTGGTGTGACTTGTTACGTCTGTTACGTCGTTTAAAACAAATGTCCCAGCCAAAATTGTACAGCCGTTTGAATCTAATTGATAAAGCAGCATTGCAAGAGTGCTGGCATTTAGTATAACAGTGTTCCACAGTTTGAATCCTTTCACTTGTCTTTGTTTGCTACATGAATTCTGATTTCATTGGCAAAGAAAAAAATAGTCAAAACTGACTTTATATGGTCAGTTATGTAAATGTATATTGCTGACCATAAGTGTATATGACTTAATGTAAGTGTATATTACTTATATTTATATCATAAGATTTTTTTTAAATGTGTATGCATTTATCTGATCAAAAATATAGTTAAAACAGTAATATTGTTACAATTAAAATAACTGTTTTCTATTTTAATACATTTTATAATGTAATTTATTCCTGTGATGGCAAAACTGAATTTTCAGCAGCCGTTACTCCAGTCTTCAGTGTCACATGATCCTTTAGAAATCATTCTAATATGCTGATTTTGTGCTC